CCGACCTTGTTATTATTGAGACAGTTTCCAATGGAAAGTAGCATAAGTAGGATGCGCTTGAAAGATCTGCTTGTTCGAATTTGTTGAATGGCTTGCTGGGTGCTACAAAGGCTGTCAAGTAATTCCTGAATGAATGAATGAATGAATGAATGAATGAATGAATGAATGAATGAATGAATGAATGAATCCGCGTAATTTTACTAAAATAAACGTGCCCAACATTTTATCGTGTAACAAGCGAGGATATCATTGAATTCAAATCCGGTTGATAAAAATTTGAGGACGGCCAATGAAATAAATAAGCGAATAAATTAAAAAAAACATGCATATATTAACATAAACTAATGCATATATCAGCATAAATTACAGCACGAAATCTTACATTTTCAATGGCGTCAAACTCGATGACAAATAGCCAGAGAGTTAGACGAGCTTTTAGTTCGTTTATTGACGATAATGTTAACAGGAAATTTTCAGCTGATCCCAAGGTTATACTGTTGTTTATGCTGTTGTTGTTGTTGTTGTAGTTGTTGTTGTTGTTGTTGGTCATGTGGTTGTTGCAGGCAGCCATTTGGGCTTCGGTGATTTGTGTAACTTCTTCCTCAGTTGGAAGAAGTGTGTTTAATATTTTCTGGAATAAAACAGTTAATTAATTCTCGATGTCATTTTCATCATTATTGATGACGTAACTTCCTGTCGTCGTCGTCATCGTGCGTGTGTGTGCGTGCGTGTATGTGCGTAAATGAGTGTGTGTGTGAATGTGTGTTTTTGTATTTATTTACTGGTATATTATGTAGAAATGTGGCATACTTTCGGATTTGTAAACTTCATCAAATATTACTATCATCATCGTCGTCGTCATTATGTCACATGATTATTATTATCAACGTCATCATCATCATCATCATCATAACCTCGACTCCTTCCTTATGTATGACATTGTTGTCCATTTTCAAGATGGCCGCCTTAATTGCTGACACAGGCGGAAGTGACGTCAGAGCGATGTTGATGGTGTTTGATCTCTTCGAATCCAAGATTGTTAATTCTTTTTTCGATTGTTCTGATTTCTGTGCCCCGGGACGATGACGTTGATGATGTGGATGATGATGACGATGATGATGAACTTAACCAATCAACCGATCAATCAATCGACCAACCATCCATCCAACCAACCAACCAACCAACCAACCAACCAACTAATCAATCAATCAATTAATCAACCAATCAATCGATCAACCAACCGACCGACCGACCAACCAACCAATCAACCGACCTTTACTTTTATGTCAGCCTGCTTAGTTTCAAAGAGCTGCAGGAAAAACTTCTTATCAAATTGAACGACGGGGATTTCACGGGCCACCCTACCCCAAATACTTTCCATGGTCCGACCGGAAGGGGTAAAAAAGTTTTCCTGGGCCTTCTGCCAATGTAACTTTAACAATTTTCTTGCCGGTTGTGGTGACGGTGATCGCGATGGTGACGATAGCAAGGGTGATGGTGGTAACAACAACAATGGGGGTGGTGCCAGCGGGGGTGGAAGGTTGATTAACGATGGTGACGGCGATGAAAATAATGATAATGATAGCTGAGGAGGCAGCGGGGGTGGGGCTAATCCAATTGGTGGTGGTGGAGGTGGTGGAGGAAAAGATGGTGGAGGGGGAGGAGGAGGTGGGGCTGGTTGTTGACTGTTTCTATTAATGGGCGATGACGAATGGGGATTTTCAAGAGTTTTCAATGGTTTCAACGTTGTAACTCCGCCCCCTAAGTTTTTAGGCTGGCTGTCCAGATAGTTGAGCTCATCGACTTCCGTCAAATCTGTAAAATCCATCTCTTTCACTTTCAATGTGCCGACCGACCTTGCCATTACCTCGTCCCATTTTTTCTCACTTTCAGTTTTGAAAACTTGAGGCTCTTGCTCGAATGCCACGCAGTCTTGTTTATTTTTAGAATGGGAATTCCCAACAGAGGAAGAGGAAGTGTCGCTGGAGAATGTGATGACCTTGCTGGAGACGTGGGATTTTTGGGTGGTTTCGATTTCGTTGGCGTGAGTTTTCAGATACAGCAAACTTTTCTTCCTGGCAACAATGTTACTTTGCAGACATCTGGCGGATAAAATTTAAAAAAAGCTTCACCTCAAAAATAACAAACTTTGAATAACTGTTAAAGGAATACTAAACGGCACCTTATATGAACTGGTGTATTTTCGGCCCCATCAACTTTTTCGGTCCCATCAATTTTCGCCATAATTTGAATGTAACGTTGGTGAAGATCGTGAATTGTGTTGTTCTGATCCGTGTACGAACGTAAGTGAACGTACTTGTCCAGCTGGCCGTTCTCTAATTGGTCAGAAATATCGATAGATGTGTTCGGGTCTCTCTGATTGGCTAAAAGCTGTTGTTTTTTTATGATGGTGATGATGATGATGAAAAAATTAATATAAATAAATAAAATAAATAATAATAATAATAATAATAATAATAATAATAATAAGAAGAAGAAGAAGAAGAAGAAGAAGAAGAAGAAGAAGAAGAAGAAGAAGAAGAGGAAGAAGAAGGAGCTAACCGCGTTAACGAGCACCATAGCCATCACAGGAACGTCAACATCATTACCACCACCTCCACTGACGTCATCGTCACTGTCGTCATCACGGGGTGTTACGTCATCGCTGAACTGGTGCTTTATCAGGTCGATGAGTTGCTGGTAGGGCGGGAGACCTAGTTGACGTGGTTGTTTTGTGACGTCATTTTCATTGTCGTCGTCATCACCATCATCGTCATCATCATCAGTACCTTGCTTCCTGCTCATTTCGATGATCATCTTGTGAACTTTCTGGGCTATGACGTCATGCCGCTTCACCATGAACGTGACCAGCATGAGGCCAGTGTGAATCAGCTCCTTCGGGTACTGCATGGCGCGTTGGTATTTATCATAATTCATTCAAAAATTATTTAAATTTATTTAATTTATGCAAAATACTCTTTTGCGTACTACGTCATATCATCTAATTGCATCATCATCATTTTCATTATCGTGAATTTTTAACCTTAGGGCTCAAAAATTTGAGTAGCCATTTTAGTATTGTCTCATCGTACATCACAATAGCGTTCAATACCCCGTTATTATTATTATTATTGTTGTTGCTGTTGTTCTTGATGTCATAGCTGTCGTTTCCATCACTTGTTAGAATTAATTGCCCGAAAGCTGTCATAGTTTTACGAGAAAATCCATATAAATATAAATTATTATGATTATTATAATTATTATTATTGTATTTTATTATAGTTATTAATCATCATCGTCGTCGTCGTCATCTTCATCATACTAACCTCTCATAAGTAAATGATACAGGTGATAATAATGATGATTCTGGTAGCTTTTACTCCGATTATTGTTGTTGTTGTTGTTGTTGTTGTTATTGTTGTGTTTCTGGGATTTAAATTTGGCGGTAAAAACTGTCACAGCGTATATGAAATGGTTGACGACCATGCTATCCAGCATGGTCGGAATCAATTTCTTCTTCATCTGTTGTTGTTGTTGTTGTTGTTATTATTATTGTTGTTGTTGTTGTTATTATTGTTGTTGCAGTTGTTGTTATTGCCATTATTAAACAATTTTACAAATGCTAGTCAGTGGACGTGTAAACGTATATATTGATTAAAATTGAAAAAATTATTAAAAACCAAGCTAGGTTGTGATGATGACATCAACATCAGCAACAACATCAACAACAGCAGCAGCAGCAACAACAACAACAACAACATAATAATAATAATGTTAACCTCGAAAATGTACTTAACAGAATACAGAACAGCTTGTAGTGAGGAAATACTCAGTGATTTCAATTTTTCTATATTTAGGATAATTTTTTTCATTCATTCATTCGTTATTTTTTTCATTCATTCATTTATTCTTTCATTCATTCTTTCTATCACTCATTCGTTCGTTCATTCGTTCGTTCATTCATTCATTCAGTCAGTCATTCATTCATTTATTGGCTATTGATTCAATTGTTCGACAATTAGTTTGTTCGTTCATCTGTCGATTACTTGTTCATTCTTTCTACCATTCATCCATCTATTAATTAATTAATTAATTAATTAATTAATTCATTCATTCATTTTTCATTCATTCATTTATTCATTAATTAATTAATTCATTCGTTCGTTCGTTCGTTCCTCCATCCATCCATCCATCCATCCATCAATCATATCATTCCTTCATTTGTCCGCATTATCGAAGGGAATAATTATAACTTTTTAAATAATATTATTACGGTGCATAAAAATTTATTATTATTTTTAATTTATTATCATAATTATTATAATTATTATTGCTGTTAAAAATAGAAGTTATGACATAAGCTGTTTATATAAATATTCTTTATCTTCATAAAAATTCATGTAATTATATCGATTAACATTGCATTATGTATTTATGCGTGCGTGTGTGTATGTGCGTGTGTGTATGTGTGTGAATATGTGTGTGTATGTGTGAGTGCGTGTGCGTGTGTGTGTGCTGGAAAGAAAAAAAAGATTTATTTTTTAAAAAACAGCAACGGCTGGTATTAATATGTTAACCTACTATTCATCCCTTCATTCATTCATTCATTCTTTCATTCGTTCGTTCGTTTGTTTATTTGTTTGTTTGTTTGTTCGTTTGTTCATTTGTTTATCCATTTGTTCACACGTTTGTTCATTCATTGATTCATTTTTTCATACGTTTGTTCATTCATTTTTTTTATTTCTTTTGCTGTCCTTTAGTATTTTTCATTTTTTTTTATTATTACTTGTTAGTTCATTCATCCATTCATTCAATAATTCATTCAATAATTCATTCATTCAACAATTCATTCATTCACTCACTCAGTCATTCATTTCTTTGTAAGCTACGAAATTATATGTGCCACGTTTGAAAGAGTTGATGATGCAAATATTGACGCTGATAGCGTATTGTACTTTTTTGATTGAAAAAATTTTTGTTGCGATGTCTTCATCATCATCATCATTTATTCTTCCACATACATACATGCATGCATGCATGCATACATGCATACATACATACATACATACATACATACATACATACATACATACATACATACATACATACATACATACATACATACATACATACATACATACACACAAACATACACACACACATACATACATACAATCACATACATACATACAATACAAACACATTTAACACCTACCTAGGAAAGCTTCTACTTTAACCTTGCTGCACAACGAACGCTTAACAGGATCATTATCAGAACCTCCACCAAAACTACTACTACTATTACCTTCATCATCGTCTTCGTCGTCGTCGTCATCGCGTTGGTTGAGTTGTTTATTAGACTTATCATTCCTGATGGTATTTATATTTTGAGTTTGTTTATATTTTGTTTTGTTTATATTTTACTCTGTTATTTGCAATTTTTTGGTAATGTTTGGTTGTTTTTGTTTATGTTGCTTAAATTTTCTATATTTCATATTTTGTTGTTGTTGTTGTTGTTGATGATTATGATGACGTTGAAAATGATGACGATGATGATGAAGATGACGACGATGATGACGATGATAGTAACAAAGTATTCTCAGCACCGTAGCAAAAATTTTAAAAACAAATAAACAGCTGAAAATACATACAGGCATTAATCATCATCGACAACATCCAAATCATAATAATCATCATCGTCGTCGTCGTCATCAGCATCTAATGAGAAAACAATAATCTTCGTCGTTATCGGCGTCATCGTTATCATCATCATCAGCAGCAGCAGCAACGGCAACCACAGCAGCCGCAGCAACCACAGCAGCTGCAGCAACCACAGAAGCTGCAGCAACCACAGCAACCACAGCAGCTGCAACAGCAGCACGATCATCTTACATCATCGTTATAACCTTTTATTTATTTTCAGATATTCCTCAGTTGCCCCTTCTTTGTACAAGCACCAGCAACAGTCCTCCAACTAGAAATTCATCATCATCATTACCACCATCATCACTAATTTCATCATTACTAACTTCATCACCTTTATTATTATCACCATCATCATCATTGACAGTAGCATCATCAAGAGGATTATCACCACTATTATCACCGTCATAGCAATCAATCAACTTTAATTGCATTAATCAACTACCAAATTCTTATAAGTAATTTTAAAATCACACACGCACAAACACATGCACACAAACAAAAAAACACCCTCCCGTAACCTTTTTAACATCAACACCCATCATCTTCAATCCCTCTCCCAGCGACTTAAACATCTTGAGGCTACCACCGCTACTTCCAAAGCCACTGCCAACGCCAGGTTTTTTACCACTGCTACCAAAGTTGCTACCAGAGCGAGATGGCGGTAACGGGTTGCCACAACTACTGTCACTACTACCGACAGATTTGCATATCTTAACGATAAATTCCATCGGTACGTGTCCAGAATTTTTCTTGTAAGTTAGAACCCGACTGCAAGCCAGGTCTGAATAACCCTTGGGGTATTTTTTGCGGCTTATGAAGCCGCCGATGTTAATGTTATTGTTGTTGTTTTGTTTGTTGATGTTGTTGTTGCTGATGATGATGTTGTTGACGTTGCTGTTGTTGTGTTTGCTAGCCGCAATGTTAACAATTCAGGTGTTGATAATTTTTGTTTTTGTTTTTGCTGCGGCTGGTTTTTTGCATGATTTTGTTGCTGTTGCTGCTGTTGTTGTTGCTGCTGCTGCTTTTGTTGTTGTTTTGACCTTGAAATTGTTTTCTTTTTCCTCCATTCATCTTCGCCAAAAAGTGAGCCCATAAAATCGACGTTTAAATTATTGTTACTGCTATTAATATTATTGTTATTATTGTTGTTGCTGCTGCTGTTGCTGATGTCGTTGCTGTTGTTGCTGTTGTTGTTATTAATATTATATTCGTCGCCATGGTAACTTATGTCGCCATCAATTTTATACTTGCTAGCTTTCCTACTCTCCTCCATCTGCCTTTTCCATTTCTTCACCTTATCTAAGCTTTCCTGCAACGACAGATTCGACGTTGATTTCTGTTGTTGTTGTTGTTGTTGTTGTTGTTGCTTACTCTTCCACTGCTTACCCGTAAAGGAACTCTGTTTAGGGCTGACGTCATCAATGCTGCCGACAGCATGGCCGATATTTTTGAGATTCAGATTGTTATTGATGTCTTTGTTGTTGTTGTTGTTGTTGTTGTTGTTGTTGTTGTTGTTGTTGTTGTTGTTGTTGTTGTTGTTGTTGTGCATCAGTAGACTTTTTCTCATTGAGAGAAGGGAAATTTTTTTGGCCCCGTCAGGGCCATGGGGACCGCCATGGTCTCCTTCTGTCCCCACTGCATCGTTCCTGACGTCACTGCTTTCGTCATGTTTGTGTATGAAATCGTCATCGAAGCCGAATGTTTTTCGGTGTTTTGGGATAAAACCTGACTGCTTTGGAGTGCTGTGTTGCTGTGGTAGCTTAGAATCTTGTTGCGGTTGCTGCTGTTGTCGTTGCTGCTGCTGCTGCAGTTTCTGTTGCTGTTTTAATAAAATTTCTTTTTCTCTTTCCAATCTTTTCAACCGCTCAACGCGTTTCTGCTGTTCAAGCAGCTGCTGCTGTTTAGCAGCAGCTGCTTCAGCAGCGGTCATAGCACCGCTGAAGAGCTTCAGATCGATGACGTCAACTTGTTGCTGTGCATCTGTCACGTGATTTTTATTGTTGTTGTTGTTGTTGCAGCCATTTTTGTTTGGTTTCTTTTTCGTTTTCTTACGTGAAATCAGCCTGTTTCTAAAAGGACAGAGGAATTTGTAATTAATGAATTTGAAATATATAAGAGAGGAGGCATTCAGATTGAAAGTAAAACATTTACAAATCAATCAATCAATCAACCAACCAACCGATCAACCAGCCAACCAGCAAACCAGTTAGCAAGCCAACCAATTAGAAACTTATCAACCAATCAATCGAACAGCCAACCAATCGACTAACCTATTGCGATATTTATTCCTATCTAGAAATGAACAGCACGAGTTTGAATCGTCCAATTGAAATGGCGAAGTGGCTCTACTGGTCAACAAATACACTCGCGTGCAATTATGATTATTATTGTTATTCTTACTGTTATTGTTGTTGTTGCTGCTGCTGTTGTTGTTGTTGTTGTTGATGACGTTGTTGTTTATTATGGTCTCATCGTAACTTTCGCTTGATGAATCGTCGTCTGAAAATTTTTTCGATGTTGCAGCTTTTGTTGTTGTTGTCGTTGTCGTTGTTGATGGCGTTGATGGTGACGTCATTAAATCGGATGTCTTGTTGCTGTTGTTGTTGGATGACGTCGTCGTCGTTGTTGTTGTCGACGGACTGCTACTATGTTGCAGTTGCTGCAGTTGCTGCTGCAGAGAAAATGGTTTCGGAGACAATGTTGATGATCTGATGAGGGAAGGAAGATAAAAAATTACGACGAGACCAATTAAAGTGGTGATGTCAATCATATTAATTTATCAGCATCATCATCGTCTCAGTCGTTACTGTCATCATCATCGTTGTCATCATCTTCATCTTCATCATCTTCATCGTCATCATCTTCATCGTCATCATCTTCATGGCCATCATCGTTGTCGTCATCATCTTCATCATCGTCGTCGTCTTCTTCATCATCATTATTTTTATTAAAATTATTATAATTATGTTACCTACCTGTTAAGCATGGATGAAGAGGGTGACGAAGTTGCTGAGTTGTTACTGCTGCTGTTGGTAAGGTCAGATACACGTGCGTACCTCGTTGACGACAACGATGAAGGCTGCTGGGTCGGCTTTCCATAGTTAAAACTGGTAACGAAAGATGCATTTAAAATTTTTTTTTATTTTTGTAAAATTACTTGTCAATCGAAAATTTATTTATCATTATTCTTTTTGTTGTTGTTGTTTATATTATCACTCAATTGAGGGTTTAGTGTATCACATTTATTTAGAATTAATCGGATACGTTATCATTAAAAAAAAAATGTCAAACATGCAAACCACCGTAAAAGATATTAACGATAGAACATTCTTCAAATTTGAAATAATAAGATACGAAACGGCACGGTATGAAACGATTCGAAACAGTGCAAAAACGATACGAAACAGTGCAAAAACGATGGGACAGGAAAAAAACAGTAATAAAATTCAAAAATGCCCTTACTTTAGACCGGAAGTCGATGACAAGGAACGAAGGGAATAACTAGTTCCAAGGTCACGTGATTTGTAAGGAGCGTGGCTGCCCAAAGAGAGGCCTGTCTGATTGGTCGAAAGAGGTGAGCGATACGATGACGTAGACCCAGACGACGACGCTGATTGGTCGCGTTTGTTTTTAGAGGACGAATAAGAATTCGGGTAGTTGAGTGCTGATGTTGGTTTATACGATCCATAGGTTGAACTTCCGTAATTTGTGTTACTACTACCACTACTGATGCCATTTAGAGCACCGTAAATGCTGCTGCTACTGCCGCTACTACCATTACTACTCCTGTAATTGTTACTACTTTTACCACTGCTACCAGCACTACTGTTACTATATGATGAAAAATTATAGTCGCTGAAACTAGATGAATATTTGTTGCTGCTGCCTAGTCTGCTCGAAAAATTGGAACCCGAATAGGAACCCTTTGAGACCTCGGATGATGATGATGATGATGACGGTTTGTGTAGGGCACGATATGATGATGAAGACGATGATGACAATCTCGAAAAACTGCTGGGTACCTATGAATAATTTATATATCAGAACTTTATTATAAACCCCACCGTTAAATTTTGTATTAACAACATCGTGCTAAACTGACTTACTTTATAACTTGTTCCATAGTAATCCATTTTGCTATGCTAGCGATGAAATTAATCAATGAAATCAAACAAAATTAACTTTAAAAAAATAGTTTACACGGTTGAAACTTAAAAGAACAAATGAAAAGAAAGGGAAATAACAAAATAAAATAAATAATTATTTAATTAATTAATAATAATAATGAATTTAAAAGTTTTTTCTTGTAATCTGCTACATTTTGGATTTCGAAATGTTGATATTAATCTTTTTTGAAAATTCATCTTTTTCGTTCCCTTACATCAACTTTCTTATAAGTTATCCTTACTGCTTTATATACATACAAGTATACATATAAACATACATGCATGCATACATACATACGTACATACATACATACAAACATACAAACATACATACATACTGTGTTCAAGCATAAACTCGTACAATAATAAACAACGAAGAGCAATGGCAATTGCAACCTAAGTATGAATGGATGGTTATATTTTCGTAAAACTCATACGTATATGTATATGAATAAATTAAAAATAGGAACACATGTATGTATCCATGCATGTATCCATGCATGGATCCATGCATGTATTCCAGTATTCGTGCATGTATGTTGTCATGCCTGTGTGCATGTGTATGTATGTGTGTTTGTACGTGTGTATGTATGTGTGTTTGTACGTGTGTATGTACGTTTGTATTGTATAAGCATCCTAATTCAGCCTCCTAATACAATTTTTTGTTGTAGTTTCATTGCATACAAGACAGACAGATAGATGGAGAGAGAGAGAGTGAGAGAGAAAGAAAGAGAGAGAAGAGAGAGAGAAAGAGAGAGTGAGGTTGTTGTATTGAAGATGGATGTGTACTTTATGTTAACCAAAAAAACTTTACTATATTGCTTACTGTTTTCGGCTCATATTTGCATCAATTTTATAATAATTATTCTAATTATTTATTAAGTTTTTGATTTATTAATTAGTTAATTAATTGGTTTTTGATTAATTGATTAATTAAACATAAAATAACAACGTTTGTCGTGAAATAAAATGTTTGTCGGTTCCACTCAAATTTATCTGCAATTTCTTTTTTATTAGCTGATAAGTTAATCGTTTCATTCGTTTTTTCTACCTCCCTTCCTTCCACTAATATATTAATCTAGTAATTTTTATGTTTTTATGTTTCTTATCTCAACCCTGCTAAAAATGTAGGTATTCTTTTCAGTGAGTCTATATATCACTTCGTTTATATTTTTAGGTCATTTTTTCTTGTTATAAAATACATTTTTGACTCATTTTTAGAATAAATATTGAAAAATATCAAAATGGTGTTTACCAAAACGCGTTTTACTGCTTTTTAAAACCATTAACGATTCTAACTATAGTCATATTCTTATAAAATTTCAATCATCTGGTATGTAAGTAAAAAGTTTGACCTGATTGGAAATCTTTTCTCAGGTAAAATTAGGTGTTCACTGATTGAAATGTTTGTTTACTTTTAAATTTAAAATCAAGCGTAAATAATAAAAAAATATGATTTTATTTCGATCAAATAATCAATTTCACGTCAGTTAGGATGCGATTAGTGATGGATTAGGCCGTTAAAGTGACTCTTTATTCATTCGAAATCATTCCATTTATTCAATCAATAGTTAAATAATTTCTTTCCCCACCCTACTAAAACTAAAGCTAAACTAATCTTGTGAGGATTTGTTGCTCATCTTCATCTTTTTTTAAATTTTAATTTAGCTTCTTTTTAGTTTAGCTCCAGTTTGACGGTTACAAAAATAAATATAAATACAAAAAAGTAAGTAAGCAATTTGAGAAAATGAACTGCATTCCAATGTGGAATGCCTGCAATAGGCAGATCGACTACATCAACAAGCAACATGCGGGACTGATAGCCATCCCGGATGACATCCTCAGGTACGGAAAAACCCTGGAGGAACTTTTGCTCGATGCCAATCAGCTCAGGGAACTACCTAAGGCTGGGGCCATTTTTTTGTTATTTTTTTATCTAATTTAAATTAAATTTAATTAATTTTTCAATGTTAGTCATTTCATTTGTTTATTTTTAATTAACTCATATTTAATTAAAATTAATTAGTTGGTTAACTAATTAGAAATAAAGTGCTATTTTTTTGTTGGGGCTATTTTTTAATTTTTTAAATGAAATTTTAAAAATTTCCAATTTTTTGATTTTGCACCCATTTTTATAATAAATATAGTTTAAAATTATATAATTCACATTGTTTGTGATGTAATTGATAATTGTTATTAATAAATAATAGTTAAATTATTTTTTATAACTTTTTGGGTTTTTTTCATTCCAGAAACTCTTTCAATTAACTTTGTTGAAGAAATTAACATTTAGTGACAACCAGATCATAAAAATCTCTTCAGACATTGGCCAGTTGGTTAATCTCCAAGAGATAGATGGCAGTAGAAATGGTAATTTTTAATTCATTCATGGATTGCATTAAAAAGTATGCCAGAATGACATAAATACATTTATAATTATACAGATAGGACATAGATACATTTAAAAATATACCAAAATGACATAAATACATTTATAATTATACAGATAAGACATAGATATATTTAAAAATATACCAAAATAGCCTAGATATATAATAAAAATTGATATTAGATTGATATAACACAGATATGCAATCTTTTTTTAACTTTGAACACAGAATTAATGGACATCCCAGATACAATAAGACACTGCAAAGAATTACATTTTGTTGATTTTAGCAATAATCCATTACAGAAGTACCACTTTCTGTCATTCATTCATTCATTATTTTTTTTATTAATTCATTCATTAATTCATTTATTTATCCATTCATACACTTATTCATTCATTTGCTCATAACACTCATCCATCCATTTCTTCATTCGTTCGTTCGTTCATTCATTCGTTCGTTCATTCATGCGTTCATTCATTCATTTATACAATCATCTATCCATTTATATAAATCATCGACTCATTCATTGAAGATTATTATCATCAAATCTATAATTTCATACTTTTAAACTTACGATCTTACTAACTTATGCAAACTAAGTTTTTTCATTATCGTTATGATTGTTTATCATTATTATTGTTGTTGTTATTGTTGTTGTTTCTATTTTTAGATTTCCTCTGGGTTTTACCCAGCTGCAGAATTTAGCCAACCTATCACTGAATGACACGTCACTAAGCATGCTGCCCAATGACTTTGGAAGGTCCTTATTTTTGGGAACTTTGTAAATTTAATTGATGAATTTTTTTCTGGTTTTTGTTAGTTTCACCTATTTTCTTGAACGGAACAAACCCACACACGCACACAAACACACACACACTCACGCACACAAACACACACTCACGCACACACACATAAACACACACACAGACCGACATTCACACGTACAGTCTAACAAATGTGGAGGCGTTAGATTTTATAGAAAACCTGTCAAATATCTACTGCATGTATACATACACACACACGCACACACACATACGCACACAAATACACACACACACATACACTCACACACATACACTCACACACACACACACAGTCTAACTAATTTGGAGACCTTAGAACTTCGTGAGAACCTTTTAAAGTACCTTCCTATGTCGATTACCTCCCTAACTAAGCTCAAGCTTCTTGATTTGGGCAGTAACAGTTTTGAAGAACTCGTAAGTTAAGTCGGCCATATTGAATTAGTATAATTACTTCTCACTACTACTACTTCCACTACTACTACTACTACTACTACTACTACTACTACTACTACTACTACTACTACTACTTTTATTACTACTACTACAACAACTACTACTACTAATAATGATAATGGTGATGATGATGATAATGATGCTGACGACGATGGTAGTGATTAGAACGATAGCAAAGAATAATGATAATTTAATTTATTTAAACGAAATCGCCAACAAAAATCGATTATTTTGTTTCTATGCAGCCCGAGACGATAGGGTCGTTGGTGAATTTGGAGGAATTATTGTTGGACTCTAACGAATTATCGTCACTGCCTGTGGTTTGTATTTGTATGAATATCTTTTTTTCTGTATTTTAAATACCTTTTTCTTGTATTTCTGTATTTTAAATACCTTTTTTTGTATTTCTGTATTTTAAATAGCATTTTTTGGTATTTCTGTATTTCCTATTTCTTATTTATTCTCACACAAGTTGTTGTTTTGTCGTTGTATCGTTGTTGTTTTTGTTGCTGCTATTGTCATTTCGTGGAGGTATTTGTTGTTGTTAATTATGCTTTAGTTGTTGTTGTTGTTTAAATGCATACAAGACATACAAATCAATCAATATACACACAAATGCAAATACGTACGTTCGTACATACAAGTTGGTACATGTATAACTCGAACAAACATACATGCATTTACACACGTATAAACACACATAGATGTACATCATTCTCACACACGCGCACACATATAGATACACACACACGCGCACACACACACGCGCACACACACACACATGCATTTACACACACACACGATCCCCAAACAATCAACCAATCAGGAGCTAGGCAACCTAAAAAAGTTAACCCAATTGGACGTCTCGGAAAATAAACTGGACAAACTGCCGGAACAGATTGGTAACCTTTTGAACTTGTCTGACCTACTTTTGTCAGAAAATCAGGTCGAATATTTACCAGATAGCATAGGTGAGTTGACACAAATACAACAACAACAACAACCAAATAACATTGCACTCATAACAAATGGCACAATATAACAAAGAGTTTATATAGTAGACAATGTATTTAATCTGTTAACTCCATTGTACGTATACAATTCTTCTACCCATTCATTCGGTCGTTCGTTCGTTCATTCATTCATTCATTCACCATTCATTCATTCGTTCGTTTATTAATTCATTCATTCATTCATTCGTTCGTTTATTAATTCATTCGTTCGTTTATTCGTTCATTCATTCATTAAAGGACTTTTGAAAAAGTTAACGGTTTTGAAGGCCGATCAAAACCACCTCATACACTTGACTACGAAGATAGGAAAGTGAGTTAAGTTTGAAAGAATTGATCATAACTTAATTATAATTTATTATTATTTTTTTTATCGTTGTTGTTGTTGTTGTTATTATTATTATTGAATTTTTTTTTCAAAGTTGTTCAAGTCTGCAAGAGTTAATTCTCATTGAAAACTTAATACTGGTTAGTTTGTTTGAACATTGAAAATTGTTGTAGTGAGAAGAATATTGCAAAATCATTGCGGTGATGATGATAATGATGACGACGTTGTTCTTGATGATGATGATGACGATGTTGGTTGATGATGATGATTGCGATGGCGATTTTGATGATGATCTCCCAGGAAATTCCTCCCACGATTGGCAAATTGAAATACCTGATGGTCCTCAATGTTGATAGAAACAGGATCCAAGTGATCCCAAAAGAGGTTTTTACTTCTTATCCGGTTAATTAGTGGAATGATTGAAGATGTATGAACCAGTGGATGAATGAATGAATGAATGAATGAATGAATGAATGAATGAATGAATGAATGAATGGATGAATGAATGAATGAATGGATGAATGAATTAATGAATTAATTAATTAAACAGATCGGATCTTGCACGCGATTGGGTGTCTTCAGTATTCGCGACAACAACATCAGCCTCGTCCCGCAAGAAATCGGTAATCTCAGGCAACTGAAAGTTCTCGATGTGGCGGGAAACAGGTTATGATAATGATGATGGTGGCTGTGATGGTGCTGATGGTAATGATGATGATTAGGATAGATGGAAAGAGGAGGAAGAATGATGAGGATAATTGTGATGATGGTGGTTATTTTTTATCATGTCGATGATAACAACGTTGAATGTATGATGAACAACAGGCTATGCAATCTACCATTGGCTCTTGGTTCTTGTCCTCTGAAAGCCCTCTGGCTGTCTGAGAACCAAGCCACGCCCCTTCTTAAATTCCAAAAGGATGAAGACGACGACGGCGAAAAAGTGCTTACGTGTTTCTTATTACCCCAGCAGCGATGCAACGTCACAGTCAACAACAACAACAACAACAAAGATGACAACAATAACAATAACAATGATGACGACCATCAACTAAGATCCAACAACAACACCCTGGATCGAGAAACCAGCTGGGCAGACCAACCCAGGCTGTCCACTGTCAGGTGGGACGTGGAGGAACCGGCTGCCAGTGAAAATAAATCCGAAGTATGCTGAGTTCTATGTTGGGTCTTGTTGCTCTGCTTTTGATGTCGTTGTTGGAAATTGTGTGTGTGTGTGTGTGTGTGTGCGTGTGTGTGCGTGTCTGTCATTGATACCTAATTAGAAATACCAACGAACGGTCGAATGAATTGTCATATTCGTTTAATTAAATTTGCAACCTAACTCTCGCAAACCCACCCTAAACCCCACTCTGCAGACGCACTTCCATCGCCAGAACACCCCCTTCCCTAAGGAACTTCGAACTCGTCACCACCCCCACAAACCACATCATCCTCCACACGTCATGAAAGATTCCTTCGATCGAGCCAAAAACACTGAATCGGATCCGCTCCTTCCGGCTACAACAACATCGTTGCGTCAGCAACAACAACGAAACGACGTCACGTCTACAACATCTGGAATTCCCAACGTCACATCCTCGACTTCGGGAATTCCAAGTTTCAGTTTGCCGGGGACCAATCAGAGGACAAAGAACTGGATCAATGCTTCGCTGGACACTACCACTGAGTCAAACAACCTCGTACGTTGAGTCGTTTTTTTTAACATTAATTTTAAGTAAAATTTGTTATGTTATGAATTTATTGTTATATATATTTATAATATTTAAATTATTATTCATCAACCTCAGCTGTCATTGGACGGAATATTGAACCAGCAGAAGCGAGGCTTCGGACTGGCCAATTCAAAAACCAGGATCAGCTCGACAGCCAATGAGACGACAGATAGCAAAGCCATTCCGACATTTGAAAAGCTACCTAACTCCAAAAATAAAACGCCTCAAAATTTAAAATCAGATGACGACGACGACGATGATGACGTAACGATGACGATGGATGGAATGAGAGAAGAAAGAATAAACATCCATTTTACGAGAAAACCTGGAGTCGGGTTAGGGATTAGTATTGCCGGCGGAGTGGGGTCCACACCATTCAGGGGAGATGATGAGGTTTGTTGGGAGGGGCCGTGTTTGATTAATTGTTCGACTGATTGATTGATCGAATGAATTGCCAATTGATTGATTTATTGGTTGGTTGGTTGATGACGATGTTGATAATGATTGTATGATTAAATGAATGAATGAACGAACGAACGAATGAACGAACGAATGAACGAATGAACGAACGAACGAATGAATGAATGAATGAATGAATGAATGAATGAATGAATGAAAGAATGAATGATTGACAGGGCATCTTCATATCTCGTGTGACTCCAGGAGGACCTTGCCATCTTGCTGGCATCATGGTGGGAGATAAACTTCTGGAGGTGAGTACGATGATGACGAAGATGATGAAAAAGAAGACGATGATGATGTTGATAATGACGGTGATGATGACGACGATGAAGAAGAAAATGATGACGACCGTGACGATGATGCCGACGACGACGATGACGAACTTTCCAGGTGAACGGCAACTCGTTAGTGAACGCCGACCACCACAGAGCCGTCAGCGTTCTCAAAGATGCCGGAAATGACGTAACTGCCGTGGTTGCCAGACTCGTTGCTATGGAGAATAAAGGGATTGCTAATCAGGCCAATTTTCTCAACAACAACAACAATAATAATAATAATAATACAGTTAAAAATGAACGGATCGTGAATGGAGAAAAAGATGATGATGACGACGATGTTGCAGATGAGGATGGCGGATTTGATTGGAAGGTTGGAAGAGATATACCTATCCATTCACAAATTTATCAATGGATATGTATTCGTTTATTCATCCGTTTGACCATCCATCCATACATCCATCCATTCTTCCATTCATCCATCCATCCATCCATCCATTCTTTCAAAAATTATATTATCTTTATAATTATCTCACTATTGTTATCATCATCTCAATAGCCCATTAAAGCCACCTTGAAAAAGATACCCGGAAAGGGACTCGGGTTTTCCATCGTGGGGGGGAGGGAAGCGGCCGGAAATAGAGACGGTGACGAGGTGAGGGAATGATGAGGACGTGAGAGTATGATGATGAGAATGATGATGATTATGATGTGAGAGTATGATGTCTATAATGGTGATGATTATGTATAGTGGTTTTGTATAATGGTGCTGAATAGAGATTTAATTTGTGATGTTAGACTAGTTAAATGACAAATTCAATTAATCCTTATGTTAATTTTTTTTAGTTATTAAGTTATTCATTGATTCATTCATTGATTGATTCATTCATTGATTCATTCATTTATTCATGCATGCATTCATTTATTCATTCATTCCCTCGTTGATTCATTTATTTATTTATTTTTGTATTTGTTCTTTCATTCAATCTTTCGTTCATTCCTTCAGTCCATCTACATTTCAAAAATCACGGCCGGAGGTTTAGTTGATCTGCAGACAAACCTGAAACAAGGGGATAAGTTAATAGCGGTTGGTTGGTTGGTTGGTTGGTTGGTTGGTTGGCTGGCTGGTTGATTGGTTGGTTGGTTGGTTGATTAGCTGGCTGGCTGGTTGGCTGGCTGGTTGGCTGGCTGGCTGGCTGGCTGGCTGGCTGGCTGGCTGGCTGGTTGGTTGGTTGGTTGGTTGGTTGGTTGGATGGTTGGTTGGTTGGTTGGTTGGTTGGTTGGTTGGTTGGTTGGTTGGTAGGTAGTTTGAATGGATTATGAATTGATGATAAATCTTTTTAATGATGATATTGCCAGCAACAACATCAACAACAACGACATCAACAACAACAACAACATCAACAACAACATCAACAACAGATCAACAACGTAGACGTGCAGTCGATCGACCACAGTGAAGTGGTCAACCTGTTGATGATGCCAGCCAACACCGTTGAGATACTCGCACATAGGAAAGCTCGACTACCTCGTCCATCAGCTCTGCAACAGCAGCAGCAACAACAGCAACGAAATTCTTCCTTCAACCAGCAGCAACAACAACAGCTGCTTAACAACAACAACAACAACAACGGCAATGATGGTAGTAGTAGGAGAATGAGGAATGGATCAGTCAATAATTACGACGATGAAAATTATTTATTCAAGCCGAAATCCAAAACACTCCTCAACACTTCTTCCACATCTTCCAAGATGGGCAACAACATCTCGCCACCGTTTTCAACAACAACAACATCAATAACGACAACAACATTGTCAAATAGTTTTACGAGCAACAACAGCAACATTCAGAAATTGTTGACCATCAACACAAGCACACCGCCCTCAATGTTCTCAACAAAATCAACGACATCAGTTGTGTCGCCCGTCGAGATTCTATTCACCAGTAGTCCGTCCTACAACAACCCGCCACCGACAACAACGTCAATGACGTCATCGTCCACGTCATCATCAACAACCGCCGCAAGAACGTCATCAGCACCATCAGCAGCTGCGACACTGGCGACAGCCTCGCTACCTCTAAAATCAGTAAAAACCAACGGTAGAAATTTCGAAAATGACGTCATCAACAATGGCGCCGACAACAACACAACGTCACTTCCGAAGGTGCCAAAAGTGAAAAAGTCATCGAAAAAATCGAGAATGAACAAGTCAGGCGATGGTGATGACGATGATGATGATGATGTTGGGGGTGGTCGTAATGATGATGACGTCACCATCGACCAATCAATGGAGGATTTGATCCTTGCCGACAACAGCGTTAACCACGGCGAGAAGAAGAAGACCAAAAAAAAGAAAAAAGATAAACATTCAGTTGAAGTAATCGTCCTTTCGCTTAAATTTTCGTTGTTAATTAATTCATATTTCTAAATATAGAAACTAATGAGCCACTGAATCAACCAATTGGACAATAGCTTTCTAAAAGACGTTTCTATTGTAGACATTAATGAATATTAATGATCTCTAATGAATCGACCAATTAGACTATAGTTATTGAGAAGAATGGAGGCCCATTGGGTATGAGCATCGTGGGAGGAGTTGATCGAATCTGTCATCCATTCGGCGTCCTTGACCCTGGAGTTTTTATTTCAAAGGTGGGTTTCGCATAAATTCATAATAATTTTATAATTATCTTAAACATTAATGGTTAAATTTATAACTTAATTAACATTTTTGACACAATTTGCATATTAATGAAGGTCGTCGAGAATGGGGCCGCATCTCATTATAATTTGAAGATTGGTGATAGAATACTGGCTGTATGTTATTTTTTTCATGCTCAATTGTTAACAAATTATTTAATTATTTAAATTAGTTTATTTCCTTTCATTTAGCCATGAATATTGTATTATTAATTACATAATTGGCATGGATAATTTGAATTTTTAGGTCAATGGTAATAGTTTGAAAGAGGCCACCCATCACGAAGCTGTAAGCTCACTGGTTAGCCCCGCCTCCGAAGTTACGCTATTGGTCCAGCACGATCCGCCCCCGCCTGGATTGCAAGTAATTATCATAATTAATATTACAGTTAATGCTATATATTATGATAATACAGCGTATGCAATATTTCAAAATGAAATGAATAAACAGGAGATAAAACTGATAAAGAGAGAGGGCGAGAAATTTGGACTGACGATAAAAGGAGGGGTGGATAAGCTGGGAGGGGGGAACAAGATGGGAGGTAATCCGGAAGATGACGCAGATGAAGGAATTTTTATATCTAAGGTGGGTCTCTCCACTTTTTTTTTCAAGATATCTATCTTATTTTATTACGTTAATGTGCATACATACATGCGTGTATACACTTGCATACATGTATACAATATACATATACAAATACACACACACACACACACACACACACACACACACACACACACACACAGATAAATCCAATTGGTGTCATAGCAAAAGATAGCAGGCTTAAAGTGGGTCAGCGAATTCTTGAGGTAAATAATAACTTTTTTACACTATTCCTTTATCAATTTTTCATTCATTCATTCATTTTTTCATTCATTCATTCATTCATTCATTTATTCTTTCATTAGTTTATTTATTAGTTCATTCACTCAAAAGTTCTTAAGTTCATAACCTGAGGGTAGGTTTGTTCACGTATCCATTTATATAAATTTATTCATTCATTCATTCAATCACTCATTCGTTCATTCATTAGTTTATTAATTAATTCATTCATTCGTTCCTTTCTGTGATAGGTCAATGGAATCAGCTTGTTGGGCGTGACCCATGATGACGCCGTCCAATCACTGAGGAGTATTCAGGGCGGGTTTACGTTACTCGTCTGCGACGGTTACCAGCCCAAAAGTGAAAAAGATGACGAAAAGATTAACAATCAGCCCCTGGAAAGATTTTATTCGACTTCCAGTGTCGATAGATTAGCTGGAGATAGTTTTGTTGGTTATCCATTAGTCTGTCCATCCATCCATCTATTCATTCATTCATTCATTCATTCATTCATTCATTCCCACATTTTTTCATTTATTAGCTCATTCATCATTTTTTTGTGCATTCAATCACGGTATATCAAACCATGCACTGAATGATGATTGTTTCTTCCAATCATTTGGTAATCATAATATTAATGATGATTGCACGAATAAGAATGAATGATTGAATGAGTGAACGAATAAACGAACGAGTAAAAGATTGAACGAACGAACGAGTGGATGAGTAAACGTCTTACTATAAACTAATAAACGAACAGGACCAGCAAACGGTCGTCACCAAACAATTGAAGTTCGGCAGCAGTCCGGCGAGGCACGCAACGTCATCGTCGTCATCACATGCAGCTGCAGCAACAACTGCAACATCATCATCATTTGCAACAAAACCACCACAGCCCTCTTCGTCGTCGTCGGCTTCATCGTCCATGATGGTGAAGAAGAAAAAGAAGAAGATTTTCTCATCAGCTGAACATCTTCTTGTCGATCATGTTAGTTGGTTGGTTGATGTTGATTGGTTGATGTTGATTGGTTGGTATATTAATTATTGGTTGGTATATTAAATATTTATAATGGAGTTTAATTAAGTTTATTTATATTTAATTGATTATAACCTTAATTAGTTGATCAATTAGCTAATTTTATTAAAATTTAAAACAGGATTTGGAGAACGTGCCAAGTTGTTAAGTTTTTTCTCTCTTTTTATGTGTTAATAAATTTTAAAATTTTTTGTTTTAAATTCACCATAGTCGTCACCGCAATCATTTGAACCACCATCATCATTATAGTCGCCACCATCATCTTCACGATCATCATTATCATAAGCAGCAGCGGCTACAGCAGCGGCGGCAGCAGCTGATGACGCTAACGCTAACGCGTCGTCATCCTCGCCGAGTAAGAGAATCGTGAAGAAGAAAAAACTAAAAGTAAACCAATCATTCGACACGGCAAACGACAGCGTCAACAACAACTACGGCGGCATCAATATGGACAGCAGCTTAATCATCAGTCCGTCGCGCAAAAAATACGATCATGGGGATGACGGTGACGACGACGACGATGTGATTAAGGAGATTAAGAAGATTAAAGGAAGGAAGAAGTTGGTTTTTGCGTTTTCGTTGTCGATTTCGTGTCTTTTATTGTTTCGTAGTAATGAATTACTAAGTATTGAGTAAATTGATTTGTTTTAAATTTTATTAATTTAATTTTTAATTTTTTTTTTAAATTTGGTTTGTTGTTTTTTTTTTCTTCATAAATATCAGATCAAAAACTGCAGATCTTAAGTTCGAGTCAGCAACCTGATTCATCATCACTGACGTCGCCATCTTTCTTTCATCATTATCATCATCCTCTTACATCATTATCATCATCCTCTTCCATCATTATCATCATCTTCTTCATCCACCATCAACGTCATCATCATCATATCAAAATCGACATTATTGTTGTCCCAATATTATTATCAATTATTATTCATTTGTCTGGCTTCATTCATTCGTTCGTTCATTCATTCGTTCGTTCATTCATTCATTCCAACTTTCCTTTCTTCATGTATATATATATATATATATATATATATATATATATATTCTTCATTTATTCATTCACTAATCCATTCTTTTGTTTATTCATTCATTTATTCATTAACTGATTGATCTATGCATGCATTGTATAAATAATAATAAGTAAATAAATAAATAAATATATATATATATGCGTATGTCATGGTCTCCAACATATATATGTATATTTATATATATATATATAATATATATATATACACATATATGCTACTATACATACATGTATAATCATTGTTATTTGACGTTTTAAGCCAATTATTTTGGATTATGTTCGGAGTTAATATTAATTATACTAACAATATCACAGTTTGTTCGCTTGTTAAAGTGCAATTAGTTATAATATTCATAGATATATTATAGTGCATTTGTACGGAAATGTCACATCAAATGTTATTACAACTCTACAAATATATATGTATGTATATATACATATTTATTTTTATTATGAAAATGAGTTCTTATGTGTTTTAACAATTTCTTCTGTACGATTGTGGAATTTTTCATTGAAGTTTACTGCTAATTTAACATTTTTTAGCCATTACTTTATTTTGTAATTTTGATTTTTATGAAACCTTTTAGATAAATAGATGAATTATTTGAATGTGTTAATGATTGTATGCTGGCAATGTTTGCACGTAAGTTTATGAGGTTTTACCTTAAAATGTTTTGAGAAATAATATTTTAAAAGCTGGTTAGCTTTCCATAAAAAACTGTCGAATACGTGTAATTTATCTTTTTTGAAATCGGCTCTAGTTTAAATTAAATTTAAAGTTTCAAGGTTTGTTTTAAAATTTTGTGTTCGGATTTTAATTTTCGGAATTCAGGCAATTGTTAAGTTACCATAAATGACAATCGCTAGATTATTAGTTTGCCGGTTGAAGCGACATCGATTGTTGATCACTAACACGTTGGCCAATGGGTTTTTGCTGGCTGCCGGAGATTTCGTCGTTCAGCAGGTGGACAGGTACAACGAGAAAAAATTAAATCCGGAATCCGTGCGAGAGTTTGTTGATTGGCAGAGAACGAGTAATTTGTTACTCTTTTTAAATTTAAACTTTAAAGCAATTAAGTTTGTGTTTTTAGTCAGTGTCATAAGGATTTGTAATGAAAATTAAATTACAATTAAAAGCTTTATTTATGTAAAATTCATATTTTGGTATTTCAATTGACAATCCTGATTTATAATTTTTCATAGAAAGATTCCTTATCACTGGATTATGTTTTGGTCCCGTTCTTCATGGCTGGTACTCACTGCTTGATTGGAAATTCCCAAAGGCCACAATAAGATCAGTTGCATGGAAAGTCTTTTATGATCAGACCATCGCCTGTCCGTGCTCCATCACTTATTTCTTTTTTGGTTGGTCATATTTTGTTTGCTGTTTTTTCACTAATTTACCTCTATTTATTTTGAAATTAAACTATAATAAATTTAAATACAAATTCATTCTCTTATAATCTATAGTAATTAATATTTTTCATCATTTTAGCAACTGGGTTACAAGAAGGTAAAAGATTTAAGGAATGCGTGGCAGAGTTGAAGGAAAAATTTGTTGCGGCCTATTTGGTGGATTGGTTAATATGGCCTGCTGCACAAACGTTTAACTTTTTTTTCATTCCTCCAACTTTCAGAGTAATATTTGTCAGCTCAACGACATTTGTCTACAGTATATTTCTATCTTACATCAAAAATATTGTTAGTACTTGATTTATTGTAGGATTTTTGCAAATATTTGGACGAAAAAAATTGTTGTTTAAGAGTTAGTCTACAAGTTTTAAAAATTTTTGTGCAACAAAAAAGTTTTTAGAGTATTTTAATCTGTCACAATATCACAATATTTTGCTTGTATGAAGTGTAGCTACATTGATAAATATGATATCATATATGATATAGAGAGATATGGTATCAATATTTCTACATCACATAGTATACAATGGCTAATGACATTTGTATCATACAGTTATTGCATTGATATAAACGTCTATTTATTTTTAGAACTTTTGTAAACATCATAAATATAATTAAATTAATTATTCGTTAGTATTAGTTATAATTAATATATTTTCAATATTTTTTAAAGTAAATATTATTAATTTAAATTCTTTTTTGTTTTTTAACAGGAATTAACTTCTGAACACAAGTGGCTGTCAGCTTTCAAGATAGAATAACGTCCAGATATAAATAAATAATATCGCTTAGAATAATAATTAATAATATAATAATAAATATATAATATCATAATAATAATTAATAACAAGTAAATGGACAATATTAATGTTAAAATTGGAGTGAATGAAGATAAAAATCTTGTCAGTGAATAATAGAGTGGTTTATTTATTTAAAAATTATTAAAGAGAACATGATAATTTTACTGTACTAATCATAAGTAGGCTAATCTTACTACTACTGTGGTTACTACTATTACTGCTTCCTAGTTTACCACTACTACTAGTGCTGCTACTGTCGCCACTACTGCTACTACTTCCTATTAATACTAACTTTCGTTTCTCTAATTTTTCTACGACGTCACATTTGATTTTAATTGACAAAATTTTTCCAATGGTTTGTGTGTGTGACATGTATATCTATGAAAATTGGCCACTTACATATGTGTGTATGTATGCTGTTGTGCGCGCGCGTGTTTGTGTGTGTAGGTATTTAAATAGGTAACTATTTGTTATTGAGAGTTGTTAACGTTATTACGATCATGCATTAATTTTTACACACACACACACACACATATATATATATATATACATATTTATTATTTTATAAAATACGGTTTTTGATTACGTCTGATTAATATGTATTAAAGGTGATCGAATTTATGAGTTAATTTATGTGTGTGTGTGTACACAACACATGCCTATGACCTAAAATGTGAATTGATATTTTGATCTAGTTTTTTCCAGATTGCATGCTAGCATTATTTCAATTAAATAAGTTGAAGTGTTTGTGTGTTTATGTATGTGTGTGTGTTTGTGCGTGCAAGTGATTATGTGTGTTTAAATATCGAGTTGAAAAGCTTTTTATACGTATTTTATTACCATATTCTAAGCTTTAATTCACAATTTATCTTAAATTTCCATATTATCTTCTGTTAAAATTTAACAATTTTTTAAGTTTTACATTTTAAAATGAAAAAATCTGTTTACATAGAACTTTGTATATATATATATATGTATGTGTGACATGTATATCTATGAAAATTGGCCACTTACATATGTGTGTATGTATGCTGTTGTGCGCGCGCGTGTTTGTGTGTGTAGGTAACAAATCATCATCACTTAAATGCATTAGAATCTAGATCTAACACACACGTGTGTATATATATATATATATAATATATATATATATATATATATATATATATATACAGTAGGAATTTGTTATTTGATAAATTTATTATTATTATGTTAACTATACTTAATTAATTAGAAAAGTTAATTATGGGAGTTTTTAATGAGATGTTCGAATAATTTTTGTAAAAGCATAATTAATAATAATTAGAACAACACACATGCATACACACATACAGAACATACATACATACATACATGCATAGACGAAAATTTAGTGAGTTTAAACGACAATAATAATAATTACAATAATATTAATATTAGAAATAATAATAACAATAAAAAGAATAATAATAGAAACAGAAATAAAATACACATTTATTAACTCTTATAACCACATAATGAATAAGAAATGATCATATTTAAAAAAATAAATGTTAACGTCCAAATTTTGTATGTATATATATGTACGTATATATCTATATATATATATTATATATAGATAATATTAACGATAATAATTAGTTATATATAAATATTAATAAAAATCAACAATGCTTGTTATGTCTATATTTTGTTGTTGTTGTTGCTCTGACAACATTATGATTCATTGAGTCATGGAATTTTGTTTTCTCTCATTTCATAAAATATTAATTGTCAGATGAAACGAAAGAGTGTAAACGAAAACCGCGATTAAGTTGTTTGATAGTTAATATATAGCAGGAATTTCAAATCTACTACTGCAGCCACTTCTACTACTACTGCCACTTCTACTACTGCAGCCACTTCTACTACTGCAGCCACTTCTAATACTGCAGCCATTTCTACTACTGCTGCCACTTCTACTACAACTGCCACTTCTACTACTGCAGCCACTTCTACTACTGCTGCCACTTCTACTACTGCTGCCACTTCTACTACGGCAGCCACTTCTACTACCACTGCTGCCACTTTTACTACTGCTGCCACTTCTACTACCACTAACGTAGCTGGCAGTAATGGCACTACCACACTTCTACTACTTTATTACTAATACATTGCTAAAAAAATTTCTTAAATGTTACAAAAACTACTAGGCGTAACTGGAATATTAGTGCTTTGGTTTGTCCAATACAAACGTCTTTGGTGGTTACATCTGCAGTTGTGGGACTAATACTAGTAGTAAGATTGAAATTGTCCAAAAAAAACAGTTGTAAATGTAGTAGATGAAGTTGTAGTAAAAGAAAAAGTGGCAGTAGTAGTCGTCGTAGTAGTAGTAGCAGTAGTTGTAATAGTAGAAGCAGCTGTAGTAAATATTACCATAGGATATCACTACTATTGTTGCAGTTGCAGTTGTGGCTGTTGTTGAATATTTTGTAACTGTTGTTGTGATAATTGTGACTGTGGTGGTTGTGGCTGTGGTGGTTGTGGTGGTTGTTGCTGTGGAGGAAGTGACGCCATGTTCGTTTGAACTGTCGTTATGTTGCTGATGTTTACTGGTTGGTACATCTGATGAGTGGGTGGATAGTTATCGTTAATTAATTAGTAGTCAATTAGATAATGATTGATTGGTTAATTGGTTAATTAATTGATAGAGGTAATTAATAAATTAATTATATATTAAATGAATGAAAAAGAGACAATGAAGAAAAGAAAGAGTGAATAAGGGAATGTATGAATGAAGGAATGAATAAATGAAGGAATGAGTAGATGAAAGAGTGAATATATCAGCAACTGAAAGGAACGTTAACGTACATCAGTGTACGATGACAGTGAATAGTGGGTTGGCAATGCTGGTGTTTGATGCTGGTGTGTTGGAGAAATATGTTGTTGTTGAAGCTGCTGCTGCTGCTGCGGCTGAAATGGTTGCTGTTGTTGGTAAATTTGTTGTGGTTGTTGGTGGTGCTGATGATAAATTTGTTGAGGTTGTTGCATATACTGAAGTTGTTGCGGCTGTTGCTGCTGTAGTTGTAGCATCATCATTTGCTGCTCCAATTGTTGTTGTTGGAGGATAGCGGCGTTGTTGTTGACTGACATCATCAATGTTGAAGATGACGTCGTTGAAGTTGCAGCTGCTGTGGTTGAGTGTGGTAGCTCGGCCATCAGAGTGTGGTAGAGTTCTAATGAGTGGATCAGCTTGTCATTGAATTCCATCAACTTCATGTGCTGTCTGTTAGTGTGAGTATGGGTTTGTGTGTTTGTGTTTGTGTGTGTATGTCTGTGTGTGTATTGAAGAAATCAATCAACCAAACAAACAGACATACATACAATCAACCAACCAAACAAACAGACATACATACAATCAACCAAACAAACAAACAGACAGGCAGACAAACCAACCTATCAATCTTCTCGAGTTCCTGATTGATGAGGGGTATCATAAGTTTGCAATGTTCCTCGTACGTCTGCATGTTCTCCGGATCAGTCTGAACATCACCGCACGGGTCAGCACTCTGTAGCATGTTCAGTGTCGTGTTTATCTTCTCCTGAAAAAGTAATTTAATTAATGTGTCAATTTAATTAATTAAACTGATTAATTAATTAATTAACTAATTTATCTATATTTTGTTTAGCTGAAGTGATCGAAGTTATTTTGCAGGTTTGAATGGATGAAAATATTGAGTACTATTGATAAAAGTTGAACCAGATCAAGTCACGTCTACTATGACTATTCCAGCTTTTGAACCAACCAATCAGTCAACCAACCAACCAGCCAATCAACCAACCAATCAACAATCATTCAGAGAAGCCAATCAACCAACCAGCCAACCAACCTCATCAATCTTATTGACGAAAACATCCTTCCTTCTCTTCCTCCTACCCCCAGCAACTTTTCCAACGAAGCCAGCATTCTTCCTCTCTACCACCTCACCATCATCATCATCATCTTCCTCCTCGTCGTCGTCGTCATCCGCGTTGTCACCATCATCACTTTCGTTTTTGTTTTTTGATTTTTTTGAGCTTGTAGCACCTATTTTGTCATCTGCAACTGTAAAAAATGAAAAGAATTAAGGGTCAATCTTTCCAGCCAATCACAGCTTGGGAAAACATCACTAACCTTCAGATTCAAGCTCATTGGTTACAAAATTGGCGGGAAATAACCCCTCTCCTCTCCACGACACACCTTTCCACCAATTCTGATCACTAAGTAAACATCAGAGAGAGAGAAAAATCAATTAAAACCAAAAACATAAAATATCATTTAAACATCTCTGAATAGATAAAAGAAAGCAATTTGATTGGTTGTTAGTGGTATACGTCATTTACTAAATGAATAAACATGATTGGTAGAGGGAATAAATAAACAATTTTAAAGGAACCTATCATCAATGACTCCAATAATCTCTCCTGCCTTGAACGTCAGCTCATTGTCCTCTACAGCTTCAAAGTCATAAAGGGCCTTCACCTTTGCGCATATCATTTGCATATTAATTATCAAATTTTTCTATCATTTGCATATTAATTGGCAAGTAAACAAAAAAATGGTGGAGTGATAGCAATGATGATGGTGACAATAAATATAAATATACCTTCCTAGGTTCTTTATTCTTATTAACTGTGGAATAAGACGACGAAGATGAAGATGATGATGCTGACTGGAATGCAGGATAGATTGATGATGCAGCTGCTGCTGCTGATGACGACGACGACGAGTAGGCAGATGATGAAAATGGCTTTGACTTTTCAGAATCCTTCAAGGAGAGAGCTATGGCTGTGTGTGAGAGAGAGAGAGAGAGAGCATGTGTGTGTACAAAACTAAAATTGAATTCCTTTGAGGATTATAATGAAGTGAACGTCAAAAAAACTCAAAATCAGGGTCTAAAAGAAAGAAAATAACATATACAAAAATTTAAAAGGGAACTTATGAACCTTTAGCAATATCCTCTTCTTCCTCCTTGCTCTGTACAACGTTCGGGTCTTTTGACAACTTTTTCAATTTTGACTGAAAAGAGATTAATTTTTCAGAATTTAAATTCTGAATAACTTAAATTGCCAATTTTTACAAGAGCATTCCATAATAATTACTTTTTGATAACATTTTTACAATTTAATTTGCCGGAATTTGATTTAATGCTTGATCACATTTGCATAAACCATTCCCAAAATATTTATACAAAACAATAAAACCTTTGCTAAAATCACCTTCTGAGCCATTAAAACTAAAAAACCAGTTCAACTCAAAAACATATAATCATAATTTTTACTTATAAAAATATTTTAACTATTAATATATATATATATATATATATATATATATATATGTGTGTGTGTGTGTGTGTGTGTGTGTGATAATTAATAATATTAAAGATAATAAATGTTTCAAAGGATTGTCACTAACATTGGTTGAACCATCATCAAGAGTAAAACTTACACCTTCATGCTTCAATGATTTATACAAGCCAGGAATTGAGCTAAAGAAGTACATCATTTCATTTCTTTTATTGAAATAAACGAAAATAATATCAAACAGTTATAATAAAATAATAAACTTAATGGGGGTAGTTTATTTGAATTGAATAAAATGACCAGATAGACCTCAGTTCAGAGTCAGATTTGAATTCAGTTTTAGCCCAACTTCTTAGATGATGCTTCAGCTGGTTGGATATTTTCTTTTGAATCTTTTACAACGACGAAAAAGTTAGGGATTTAACTTTTAAATTATTGAAATAGTAGTATTAAAAATAAAATTCTTAATAAATAATTACAAATTAAATTAAAAAATTATATTAAATCTTTTTTGTAACACTTCTAAGGAATGAATCAGTCACTTGACAGTTAAATTAGTGAAATCAGTGATAGCCTGTTAGAAGTAAATTGAAATTTATATAAAAGTGAATTTAAATTAAAAAAAATTGCCTGACCACTCCTTGCTTCTCTTCACTGATGATCTTTCTACAATCAGTGATGAAATCTTTTGAGGCTATTTCAAGCCAAAAATATCGACCAGCATTTTTTACGCAGGCATTCAGAAGCTTATAGAAAAAAATATTTCAATGTCATTAAAACAAGATTACATACAAATTAAAACAAATAAATGAAATAATTTAATAAACGATCAATTAAATTTTTAATAAAATGTCAAAAACCGAAATAGCCTGTAAAGCAATATGAGGATTCCTATTCAACACCCTTTTCATAACGGCTTTATAACAATTTTTGGCTCTGAAATTGGATTTCATTGAAAATTAAAAAACTCATTAATTAATTTTGTTCTAATTTTTTGTTACTGTGTATTATAAATAAATGTAAATAAATCATTTCCACAATTTAGTTAGGACATTTCGCTAAATTTATTTATTGTAGTAGAGCTTTCGTTAATTAAAAACAGTAATTTATTTTAAATTTTTTATAAAACATTAAATATAGAAATAAAACAAAGTTCACTGGTTTTTTCAAAAAAATTATGAAAAAAATTTGAAAGGAAATTCAAAAACAAAAGAAAAATAGAAAAGAAAAACTGACGCGACTTGAGACTGTTTGGCCTTGTCACAAATGTCAAGAATGGTAGCCCAATCCTCTGAGGTGTTCCTCTCGTCTGTTGCTTTTTCTGTCAATCAATCGTTTTTTGATTGGGTCATGTATGATCAATTAGGCAAATTATTAAAGAAATAAATTAATAAAATGATAAAAAATAAAAAGACAGGTCATGTCAACTAAATCATGGGTGGGTAGGTTGGGTGAAATTTAAGAAAAAGCATTCAAACATCAAAAAAAAGACAAACTAATTAATTTCACTAACCGACACTAGCGTCAAACGGATTAGGATTAGAGAAAAAAGGCATTTTTTTAAATTTAAATATTTAATTTGTAATTGTAAATTAAGAACTAAAAGTCAACTGACAGAAAAGAATGTAAATTTTAGGGATGTATCTAAAGGGCAAAACAGACTACAAAAAATAAATTGTGTTACGCCTTTTTTAAGAATGCCCAACACCCAAATATCCTATATCCTATATATATATATATATATATATATATATATATATATATATATATATATATGACGACCCTGTATTTTGCTATTTGAAACGAAATTTTCAACAAAACTACAAATTTTCAATGACCAGCAAATGTCACCATTATGTTTCAAGTTAAATTTTTTTATAAATATTAGGCATCTTGTGAACCACGCCAGCTTTTTTCAACTTGCTACTTGACCGCCCCATTGGCATGTTTGACAGTCTTGAAGTAAAGTTAAAGGTAATAAACTCTTTTTCTCCCTTTTCTTTTTTCTTTCTATATCTAAACATATTATTAATATAGTCATTAGTTGCCGCGAACAAATAAGCGCAGTTAAAAAGCAACAATTTAATTCTTAACCAAAAAATTAATTAAAATTTCTAAATTATTTGAATATATTGTTAATATAGTCATTAGCTGTCGCGAGCATCAACGAAGATTGATTAGCTGTCGCGAACACATAAGCGCAGTTAAAAAGCAACAATTTAATTCTTAACCAAAAAATTAATTAAAATTTCTAAATTATTTGAATATATTGTTAATATAGTCATTAGCTGTCGCGAACATCAACGAAGATTGATTAGCTGTCGCGAACACATAAGCGAAGTTAAAAAGCAACAATTTAATTCTTAACCAAAAAATTAATAAAAATGATTCCATATCCAGTTATTTTCCACTGAGTTGCTCGTACAACTTTGGCACATAGTCATCCCACTCAGCCTTATAATAATTCCCAGCAACGGGCTGCCCTAGTGAATATTTGTCACTGAACTTGCGGACGTGATGGGAGGCCCTGTGATCCCCTGATCTGTTTGTCAGGTGCTTCTCGTGGAACTTCACCTTGCCATTCTGCTTGAAGACCAAGAAGACATATCTGTGTAGTCCTAGCAATGGAGAATGTTTATTGAAGGTTATTACCTTAGTGAGCTCTGATATCTAAAAACTTCATATGAATATAACAAAACAGTATCTAGCCAGACACTGTTACTGCTAGATAGTATATACTTTACAATAAAACATGTGAAAAAATTTCAAAAGAATTGAACTATACTCTAACCAGTTCCTTTGGGAGGCCCAGAGCCAACATATTCAGAAAGAACCTCGCCCTTCTCCACATGGTGTCCAGGAATGTTCACAACTAGCCAATGATGCCACTCTCTGAATTTTGGGTTCTCTCGACTCGGAGCATCAAGATCTGTTCAGACACAAAATTCATAATCACCAACTATAAAAAAATGTCCATAAATTGAAAATATCAAACAAAAAAACTATAACAAAGTTTTTTTTACTCAAATGAATTTAAATAAATCTGTAACTTAACCAGCCAACCAACCATTCATGATGAGAGTGTAGTAAGCATTTGCATCAGCATTCCATTTCACTTTAGGGACATGCTTCACCTAATAAAATGGGAAAATAATGCAAATTAAAAACTGCTAATAAATTTGTTTTTATAAATAGATTTCAGGTATAAAAATGGCTAGAGCAAAAATTACTTGCTAACATCTTGGCTTGATGTAATTACAATGACAACAGACAAAATACAACAATAAATAATTCAATCAAAAAAATTCTTGACTAACAAACATTTATATAATTTATTCAATATTAAAAATAATATTTAGCCATTAATATATTTTATATCTTGCGTACTAACAGACACTTGTATCATATAGTAGACATATTTTCTTGAAAGTTAACAAACCTGTGTCGGGGTCAACACATCTCCAGGCTCAACTTCAACACTGCCATAAGAAACCTTTTAATTAATGATTTATTAATTAATTATTGAAAAAATAACTTATCAGATAGAAACGTTATATACATTTTTATACCACTAAATTACTAAGACAAGACTCACAGAATTTGTTGAATAATTATGCAACACATTCAGTTATTTACACAAAATTCAATTAATAAATCAACAGACAGTCCCTTATTTTTATTAACATGACATAACATGACCTTTACCAAGGGTTAGCAAAAAAAAGATGATGACCACAAAATTCAAGCAAAAGTCAAACAGAACAGAGGCAGCAACAAAACAAAACACAACAGAAACCTGCAAAAGTTCATTTGGCTTATGAATGTGCATATCATTAACGATGTCATCCTCAAGAAATTTCTCCATTTTCACTTTCTTAGAATTTTTAACCAAATTCTTGGAGAATTTTCTAGGGCTGAATTAATAAAAAATGAAAAACTAAAACAGCAAGCTAAGTTAAAATAAAATCGGTATAAAAATCAAGGATACGGTTCAGGAAAAAAATTTACCAAATTAACAAAACTCTACCAGAATAAGCATCGTGAATAATCAAAAAACCAATTTTAGCGACCGAATTAAACAAAAATCAGAATAAAACACGACCTGCAACAGCACCGTAAGCTATTTATGACGTAGTAAAACGAAACTAAAAGTAAACTTCGCAAAAAGCTGTTAATTGTATAAAAGTTAATTCAAGTTAAGAAACTCTACTATATCTACTGATTATCAAACGGACAAACGGGTTAAATAGGATTGTTAGAGGTTTAGTATTATCTTAATATATGCTCCGGGTAATGTGAGAAGTTGCACATGTCATCATATAGTCTATTAATAATTTAATAAGTCATCATATAGTCTATTAATAATTTAATAAGTCATCATATAGTCTATTAATAAGTCATCAAACTTATTAATACTCATTAAAACTTTTTCAATCACAAGTTTAGCCTTTATTTATCGATCACCTCTCTAACTCACCAAGTCATCATCTAGTCTATCAATTTGCCGTTACTTCATTTTATATTCCATCGTCAATTACTTTTTCTTTATTTTTTTTTATTATTATTATTATTTTATTTTATTCTAACATATTTTATTTTTCATGTTTTATCATTTTTCTTCCTCACTTTTTGTATTTATTTTCTCACTTTTTGTATTTATTTTCTCACTTATTTGTTTAATTTTGTTCTACTGCCTTGCATGTTGTTACAGTTTCTGCGTCTGTCAGATCCTGATTTTTAAAGAATAAAAAAAAACATGTTGCTATTAACTGAGTTCACTCACACACACACACACACACACACACACACACACACACACACACACACACACACACACACACACCACAAGTTCATTATAATTAGTCTACATCTATATATATAAATTTATTTATTTATATTCTATATCACTATATCAACCACACAAACTACTTACAATCATCAAATATTAACATAGAACATGAATGACTTGGTATTGTACTAAGTACACAAGTTTTATTTAAACGAAATAAGATCAGAGCTATAAAGTTATATATACGTGTTGGGGTTGTCATATATATATATATATATATATACATAATAAATATATATATATATATATATATATATATATATATACAAATACTAAATGTATTAAAAAAATTAAGTTAGTGAACGAATAAATAACGAGAGTACTAAAAATAAACTGAAAAATAGAAATTCAAGATCTTATCAAGTAGACAATAAAGTAGAAATGTCTTAAAGAAAGGCACTATTGTACGTGGCAAAGAAATTAAATTTCAAAAATAATATATATATATATCTTTGTCGAGTAGAACTTCTATGATGGTGATAATAATGGCCGGTAATAAGCTATCCATTCAGCCAGCCAGCCAGCCAGCCAGCCAGCCAGCCGGCAAACCAGCAGTTCAGTGCGTATACAGAACTCTAATCAATGTTGTTCTCTATTCTATAGTAATCAGACAAATCGTTTTTATGCAATAATCCTCAACACATTTATTATTGATTGAGTTTGAATGATTGAACATTCAAATAAATAAATAAATAAATATATGTATATGTATATATGAACCGTGAACATAAACCATATACATACATATACATACATATATATACATACATACATACATGAATACAGCAGCAGTATATTCCACATATTAATACTGATAATAATTGGCCATCTGATGATAATTGATAGCGTTAAAAAGATGATAATACCAAAATAATTTGTGATATTTCAATATGGTTTACTAAAAAGTGTGTTGCGAATGGCGTTCAACTTTGAAAAAATATACATAACATGATATGAATGATATGATAATAACGAGTGACAATGTACGAACAAACGAGCGATAATACAAGCACATGATATGTCCTCCTACAACGATACATTGTACAATGATGATTACAAAATAAATGCCTAAAGTTTGTAAGAAGCATTTTCCTCATTGCATGTCATTTGATTGGCTGTCATGTTTCTGTCTCTCTCTGTATGTTTTTTTCTCTATTTCTCTCTCTCACTATCTGTCTGTTTCTCTCTCTCTCTCTCTCTCTCTCTCTCTCTCTCTCTCTCTCTCTCTCTCTCTCTCTCTCTCTCTCTCTCATGGATTACTGACATATTTCCTACGTAACTGAGCCACGCTCCAAGACAGATTACCATCCTCCAACTTATCGGGATTGTTATCATTAGCTGCTGTCCTGTTGTACGAGNGGTGTCGACGTTGTAGTTGTTGAGAATTTTGATGATGTAGTTGTTGATGTCGTTGTTGATGGTAGTTTGAATGTTAATGTAGCTGTAGATGAGGCTGTTGTTGGTCTTGTGACTGGTCTTGCGATGGCTGTGCTACCTAAAGATGATGATATACTTGGTTTTGATTGGTTGCTGTTGAATTTGATGGGAGCGTTATTGTTGACGATAGCAAATTTGTTGTTGTTGCTGTTGTTGTTTGAAAAATTACTAATCTTAGTAGTTGTCTTATAGTTGTTCTGTATTTTGTTCGCCCTAGCGGCGTTTTCAAATATTTTTGAGACTTCGGAAACTACCTTTTCCTCCTTGTTGCTAGACATTTCAACATTTTTATTGAAAATCGTTTTTATGTTGGCAACATTGTTGACGTCTTTACTTGCGGATTTTGCTGCAACTTGTTGAAAAATATTCTTACTGACGGCAAAACTACTAGAAGTTGTTGCTGCGGTTGTTGCCGATGGAATGATTGTTGTCGGATTTGTCATGGAAGATGTGTTGGTAAATTTAGTCGTAAGACTCGCTATTATTGGAGCCATACTACTACTACTGCTACTACTACTACTACTACTACTACTACTACTACTACTACTACTACTGTTGACATTGTTGTTGCCGATGCTGTTGTTGTTGATGTTATTAATAGTGGTGCAATTATATTTGAAAGACTTGTTATTATTATTATTACTACTATTATTATTGTTACTATTATTGTTGTTATTGTTACTATTATTGTTGTTATTGTTACTATTATTGTTGTTATTGTTACTATTATTGTTGTTATTGTTACTATTATTGTTGTTGTTGTTATTGTTGCTGATGCTTTCTTCGACACTTTTGTAATGTTCAGACAGATTTTTATGCCATAAGCGATCCTTAAATGTCGAAGACCTTTTCTCGGCATCATTAACACCGGTACTATTATCATTATCGTTATTATTATTATTATTATTGTTATTTTTAGTAGTAGTAAAAGTATTATTATTATTATTACTACTACTACTACTGATAAAATTGCTAGTCTGAGTATAATCACTGATGGAGTTGGTCGTCTTCACGAATACATTATCTCTGGCCCGTAGATTTCTAGATCTCACTCTGACATATTCATCTTCCTCCTCTTCCTCTTCGTCGTCATCTTCATCGTCGGCGCCGTCATCGTCCTTGCCACCGTCAGCCAGTTTAGCTTTGTATCTCCTATTTGACCTGCTGCCGTATTTTGATAGCGCGGGCAAATTTGATAGTATATCGGGTAGACCTTCATTGCCCTGACTGCGACACACATCACTCTTGCTTCTGCCTAATTTAAAATTAGGGATGCTATTTTTAGAATAAGGGATGTGCTGATTTTCGAAGCCGTGGGGGTCTGAGCTTCTTTTCTTTTTCTTCCTCGCTTTGTTTCTCTTGTACAGTGCCTGCTTTGACTGTTGAGCGTTTATAGTTGTTGTTGTTGTATTTGTGTTGTTTACTTTAGTGACATTGTTGTTGTTATCACTGTTATAAGTGTTGCTGTTGTCAATCAGCCTGTTGTACATTTGTTTGTTATTTTGGGATGGATAGAGTGTTGGTGTCTTCACTAACGTTTTATTGATCTTATCAACACCCAATTGGTGCCTGGAAAATGGTTTTTGTTGCAGCTGAAACTGCGGCTCTTGTTGAGGCTGTTGTAGCTGAAGATTTTGCGTTTTTAAAATGTTCTGCTGTTGTTGTTTCGACGGGTGTGTTTGTTGTTGCTGCTGCTGTTTTAGAGCCTGCAGTTGTTGTTGCCTGGCCTTCAAAGCCTCCTCGTAAGATGGCGGTGGCAGTCGTACTTGTTGTGCACTTGCTGCCGTCGTCATTGGAATGTTCCGTTTCATCAGAGGGGTGTTCAAATTAGGAACTTGGGGACCTAATGTCTTTTTGCCATTATCACCACTGCTACTACTACTACCGCCAACGTTCGAATTCAACCTGTCCAGCCCTCCACCAATTGTCGGCGGTCTGATTGGTGAAGTCTTATTGACATCATGAACCTGCTTGTTATTTAAGTTAACGCTGTATGATCCGGACATCACTGAAGATGTCGATGGTGTTTTGTTGCTTTCCAAAGAAACGTTAGAATCAACAGGATTAGCAAAATGAATCTTGTCCATGCTGTTTGCTTCGAATGTGGCCCTATACTTCTGCTTCATATCTCCGTGTTTGTCTAAGTCCGGCTGCCTCTTCAACTTACTAGGACTATTTATAACATTGTTGTTGTTGTTATTGTTGTTGTTGTTGTTAGAGTTTGGAGAATCCTGGACAAGAATATTGGTTGTAGTTGGTCCACCGACGAGTAGTAAGTTGGCAACGATGTGGTCAGGAAATATGTCAGATCCCCTGTTCGTCATGCCCATCCTTTGCAGTGAACCACTCCTGTTACTGCTGTTGCTTAGTGTACTTATGAGGCTCGTGTGGTCGCTGCTGCTGCTACTGCTGTTGTTGTTGTTTGCGCTAATGCAGATGTTGGCGACGGAAGTTGTGGCTGCGTTGGAGTTGCTGATGTTGTTGCTGTTTCTGCTGGCGAAGTTTTTATACCTGCTTGGTTTGATAGGAGTCCTCAGAATGTTGTCATATTTCAAAATAACAGACGCGCTACTATCTTTGAAATCATTGGCATCTACGACAGTAGAAATGTTGCAACTTGGTCCACCAGATGACTCGACGTTATTGTTTTTGACAGCTGCAGTAGTAGCGACAACAACGGCAGCACCACTGGCGACATTATTAACGTTGGAATGTGCATCAATGGACAGACATCGAGCATCGTCATCTTCAGTGCCAGACACCATCGAATCATTTGTCGTCTCGTTGCCGTCTAGACTGCTGTATCGTTGTTTGTCGTCGTAATCTGTTTGGAAGTAG